GTGTGTGTGTGTATGTTGCGAGTACCTTATTTAGTTCACGAACGGGTTAGAATGAAATAGCTGTATACTTTACGCTCCAAGTAGTGTTTTAGTTTATAAGATTAAGTACACTGGCCATCTCAAAAGCATAACGTATATAGCAGTAGTCGGTAGTTTTGTCTTCCATCAGTCCCCTCTCAAATACTGACACAGAATATCTAAGTGTCCGCGCGTTCCCTGTCTCAGCTGTAGGCCGTCGCTGGACATGTGCTATTTTACACTACGTTTACAACCAACATCACCACTCAGTTTGTGTTCAGTTTCTATTGGTATAGATGAACCAATAACTGGCATGCGTAAAACCCAAATCTATGTTCAAAGATATTTTATGTGTAGTTCAGAGACCCAGCCCTCGCGAACTGGGGTGTGAGTTTCGAGTCACGTTGCGCCTTTTGTGGTCAACTTAATCCATTCACTCGATGTGCTATACTAAAAGTCTTCTCGGGCAGGCACGTATCAATGTGCGGATAGGAGCCGATCGCACACACACTACCGTACAACCGTAGGCGGGTTACTCGCTGGCATGCCGTGGTAAGGACGTTACTCTCCTTCTGCTTCTGCGCAGCGCTCTCCTCTCTTGCTACTTGTCATACCTTATAGCCAGACGCAGACACTCGCACAACTAGCCTCCACTATCAGTTCGCCACCCCTAGCAACATGCTTGTTCCGAGAAAACCCTAAGCCCTGAACTCTAAACCCTAAACTCGACCCTAAACTCTGAAACTAATTGCTTGTTTCTAACACTTCACAGGTGGGGGCCTATGTCAAGATTGAGCGCGGCACACACGCGGGGCTGTACGGTCGAGTGACTGAGGTTGGCGGCATTAACAGTGAAACCCTGGGGGTTCGCTTAGGCGTCAATGGACATGTGATCAGGTGAGCTTTTGTGTTTCTGTGTTTGTCAGGCTTATCGCTTGTCGTACTTCTTGGATCAAGCCAGTGCCACGCTGCAACAGGCATGTCCTTTGACGCGCCTGTGAGTGCATGTTTTGGGCCGTTTATCGCTTGCGATCGAATTACCTCCCGAGTCGCACTGAGACATTGGTGGACAGGCATTTGCATGTACCATCAATCCCCTTTGCACGCTGGCGATGGACACCCTCAATACCCAACATACATGCAAGGGTGCCCAGCATAATGCACATATTCACGTTTCAAGTATGGCCTCGCATCGAGATTTCAGTTGAAGGCCACCGACTGTGACGCATCAGTTGCCGACATTTGTGGTTGCGCATGAGAGCTCATGCGCCTGGAAGGTCTTCTCCTTGCCTATACTACCGAATCCGCTCCTGAACACCGCTTACTGCTACTATATCCACAGAAAGAGATGTCTATCCCAGTAGCCTGCCGCAGGTTTAGCTGGGGCACGCATGGTGCAAACACCATCAACCACTCACCTATAAATGGCATACATAGCGCAAAAGACTGTGATCCACGAGTTCGAATCCCCGATTACGAAAGTTTTTTTCTCCTTCTTCTGATAGAATGCATGCATAAAGCATGTGGCACACGCCCATAGGCCTGTTCCCATTGGGCTCACCCTTCATTCATTCCTTCCCACTGTCACTGTCACAGGCTGCCAAGGCGACGCACGGCGCTGGTGAGTGGCGTCGAATACAAAGCACACCGACACGATGTCGGAGAAGGTGCAGACCATGCACAAGCACGAGACAACCGGGATGAGAAGGACAGGTATACACACAGGGAGAGTGACACAGAGAGGGGCCGGGGGGATAGGGAACGGAGTGCACACAGGACTGAGGCCAGGCAATGGCCGCGTGACAGTAAGGAGGAGAGTGAGAGTGGGGACGATAGGGATAGCCGGGACCATGCAGGCCAAGGCAGGCGCGAGACATGCGGTGATGCGCACAAAGGGAGAGGTGGCAGCAGAAATGGGGATAGAGACAGGGATAAGGATAGAGGCAGGGATAGGAAACGGTACAGAGGCAGAGACAGCGATGACGGGGGAGAGCGCAAACGGGGCAGAGAAGACGATAGAAATAGAGAGAAAGCCGACAAGGGGGTCTCAAAAGGGCCTACTCGCGAGAGTAGGAGCGAGCGCACATGGCTGCGCCCGGGTATCACCGTGCGGGTGGTCAGTCGGACGTATGAGAGGGGCAAGCACTACACGGCCAAGGTGACTGTGGCGGATGTGGTGGGCTTGCATGAATGCGAGTGTAGGAGTGACAACGGCCGACTGCTGAGTGGTAGGTAGAGGGAGGTTTGGTTATGACTGAGCTCGGTTAATGTTCTTCGGTCTTGTTGTGTTGTTCCTGTTGTGGTGTAGCTCACACGTGAACGTTTGGGGTCGTATACGCGTTCGTTCCAGTACTGTGCAGGGCATAGTCGCTGGTATAGATTCACTGAGCCATATGCTGTGGATTTTGACAACCTATATATATATATATATATATATATATATATATATATACACACACACACAC